TCTCCATTTTCGTTGCTCTCTCCCAGTCCGTGTCGTCCCATGATATCTTCATATCCGGTGTTGTCTATTCCGACTTTGGCATTTAGATCTCCCATCAGAATGGTGAGTTCCTTTCTTAGGCATTTCTCTATGATTGATTGGAGTCGCTCGTAGAATTGATCTTTGATGTCGTCGTTGCTATCATTGGTGGGTGCATAACATTGGAGAATATTCATTAAGATCCCCTCCTTCTTTGTTTTGAATGATGCTTTGATGATTCTGGATCCGTGAGATTCCCATCCTACAAGTGCATTTCGTGCTACTTTGGACAGCATTAGAGCAACTCCCTGAGTGTGTGGAACATTTTTCTTTTGGTACCCGGAGTATAACAGCATCTCTACCGTACTTGGCCTTTGTTGTTCAGCTTGGATGCAATGGGTTTCGCTGATTCCCAGTACTGCTAAGTTGTATCCCCTCATTTCCGTTGCTATTTGACTGGTCTTCCCGGTCTCCCACATTGCTCGGACGTTCCATGTACCTATAAAAATTTTTGCTCTGGTTGTTGGAAGGGGCATCGACCTCGTGGCTTCCGAAGGAACTCGGCTTTCACCATGAAGCGTCATAATTCTTCTAAAAGAAGACCTTCTAACTCCCAGGGCAGAGTTAAAATGGTTTGAATTATTTTTTCTGGTAAGCGTTTTTCTAGCGAGTTAGTTTTCTACGGGATGGGGACGCTAACCCCATGCTCAACCCTCCTCCCTTACCCGGGCTTGGGACCGGCAGTAACTCTAGAAGAGCTACAGGCGAAGTTTGACAATCGGAAGTTCAGATAAATTTTATATATATAACTCCAGTGCCAGTTAAGCACAAGCTAATCAGAGACAACTGAATTCTATTTTCAATGATAGATACACTGAATGTCAACTAACCAACAATTGAGTATACGAGATTCTGTTCTTTATCTAGTACCGTTGATAGAAATTTATATTCAGTTATCGTTATTTATGTTCTGAATTTCTATATCACACAGAAACAATTTATGTAAAAATAAGAAGGATAGCTTTTATTACGCAGTGAAACGGGTCAACGATATTGAACATAATGTACTGCGTGCATTTTTAGGGTCATCCAAGCGGTTTCGTTACTGAAAATAGTATCACAACACCTCGATTACTTCTGAAAAATGGAAAGGTGGTCAGATATTGACATGTAGATATGAAAATGGGTGATAAATTGGAATGTGCATTTAAACTGTGCTTGGTTGGGTGAACTCCTGTTGATCATGTAGCTCAGAATTTGAAAGTTTACCATTAATGACAGATAGTCCACTGAAATCAGTGACTGGCGTTAAGAGATATATCCTGGAGTTCTAGTGAGAAGCAGTGACCAGTGGAGTTCAACCGGGTGTGTTGTGAGATTGTAACTCACTGATGACAATGGTGGATGTGCCACTTAATTTCGTGGATTAGTTGAAGTTAAACATTAACATCGTTGGATGCCGGCCAGCTCAGTGGTCTAGAGGTTGAGCATCTGCGCGCGAGATTGATAGGTCCTGAGTTCGAGTCCCGAGAGGTGGGGTCTTGGATGCACAGTGCTGAGAAGTCCCACAATAAGACGGGACGGTCGTCCAGTGCTTCCAGGTTTTCCATGGTGGTCTAGCTTCAACTGACTCATGATCTCAACTGCTGAAATTACTTCATTTTCTGTTTATTTTTGATGTGGTAAATGAATAAAGCTATCATGTATTAAAAGCTTTTGTATTGTGAATTTTAGATCTTAGTGTTCAACTAATCACATTTCCAACTGTTTAAAACTAACCAGTATGATTACAACCAAGTTATAAAATACATTTGGTATTGTTTGCTTGTACAGTCCGGTTGTTGTTCAGGACTGTAACTGATCAGTCTCTTATAGGCATATGTGCACCCTGTGCGGATTGCCTCGATATTGCCTTAGGTCACAAGCTTTATAAGCAAAGATGGATAGTGGCAATCAGTAGAATCCAGGACTCGCGTTTCGTTCTCTTTGTGACTCTTCAGCTGGACGTATCTGCATCCCGGAGTTGATGTTCATTCTGGGATTCGAACCCAGTTCCTTTCGCCTCAAACGCGATCGCGTTATGCAAGCAAACAATACCAAGTTAATTCAATTTCACCCCACTGCACAAACATGTGACTATCAGGACTCAGTAGTTGAGTCCCAAATAATATGAAACGCTCGTCCTGGCTTCCTTTGATTCCCACCATCCATATTTGCTTATCAAGTTATAAAATAGTTTATCGCATATCAGAACATTAAATACAGACTGTGGCAAATTACAAAAATCCTACGTAGAGGAATTTTTTATTTATAAGTTAAACATGAACATTACAACAACACTACAGCATCGTTCATTTAATCTACTATTTATATAACTATGATTTTAAAAGGTGCCTATCAGTTAAATAACTGTTGGAAACCTCAGAATGTTTGATAGTTGTTTAAAATTTCCTTGAAACCTATCAGTGGTTCAAATGTACCGGTCATCATGGGATCAAATGTGTTATTTTTTTGGAAATATTTGCTAAGTATACTGTTATTGTAACATAATGAACAAATATTAGTTTCAGTACGTTCATATATGACCTAAGCATGTTATAGGCCCTTGTGAAACCACTCTGTTTTGCTCAAACATATTTTGGTTCAACAGCACGTGAGCCTGGTTTTGTCTGGTATTATCCAGTGTTTCGTATATTAGTTACTAATCCCTATGTAAAGTTCTACATTTACATTGTGTAAAAAGTGTTTGTATGTGTTTAGTGATATATAACATTTTACTCTGAAAATATAAAAATTAGATAGAAGTTAATTAAGCTATACGACATATCACATTTTCGTTTTATAGACACAAAATGTATGGTTTTAGAGAAGTATATAGATATGTATGAAACAGTAACTTAACAAATTTTAGCTCAAGTATAAATGAATAAAACAAATCATCCATTCTGTCTGATTTCATACATTCTTTCAGGATGTTTTCTGTCACTGTTTTCAAACTAGATAGAGCGAAATGGAATGAAACTTGACAGTTGTACACATAGTTAACCAATACAGTTTAAACAATCATTAGCTTGACCTTGTTCAACTTTGATTCGTAATACTTGTTTTATGTATGAACTAATAACCAAGGTGACATTTTTATCAATCTATAAAAGTGCAAATATTAATTGTAGTGCTTTTTACCCGATAATATTTTGAAAGTTGATACTTTACCCAAATGAATGTATTTATATCTATTTGCTGTATTAATTATTAATCTGTATTTTAGAAATTTGATTAAAATCTAACTGTTTGTGTGCTAACTCTAGTTTTCTAACAGAATCAGCATTTTGTAAAGTTGATATTCCATAGTAGTAGGTAAATCAGACACAAGCTTTCAGAAATACTTTGAAAATAGGCAAATGATTTAAAATATTCATGAAAATGCTTTGTTCATCACAGGATCCTCTTTCATTAGAGGGGAACAGTTCTATAACAATCTGATTAAATCCCATTCCATATTTTAAACTACCTTACGTAAGTATATATTATTTGCGTTAGGAATAAGCTAACAGATATAAAATGCAGGGGTTTATTAAGGAAAAGTTTGGTGTCATTGTTATTGATGTATGTCTCAAATATCATTCTCCCCAGTTTATTACCAACTTTAATAATAAGCTTTGTAAGTGAATGAGTTTGGTAATATGATATGTGAACCTTGTCATGAGAGATTATAATGTTCTACACGTAATTTGATTACCAATATGTATTGCAGATAACAAAATGGATTTCAATTGTTGAGATCATGAGTCAGTTGGAGCTAGACCATCATGGAAAACCTGGAAGCAATGGACGACCGTTTCGTCCCCTTGTGGGACTCCTCGGCGGTGCTCATCAACGGCCCCGCCTCGCGGGATTCGAACCCAGAAACTACTGGTCTCGCACGTGAGCACTTAACCACTAGCCCATTAAGCCGGCATCCAACGGTGTTAATGTCTAACTTCAACTGGATTTCGAAATTGGTATAATCTAAACATAATAGTGATTGTTTGATCTTATTAAATATTCCCAATTCCTGTAAAAAACAGCCAATTGCACTGTATTGTAGTTGGTTGGATTATGAATGAAAACTTAAAAAGAAAACATACTCTAAAGCAGTTTCTCACGCATATTCCTTCATATTATTAAATGAATTATAGCAAAAATGTCCGAATAGCCTGACTGATATCTACTGTCTGTTTTTAGTAGTTGACATAGTGCTCTGAGAAAACTCCTGAAGTTTATAGTATCGAAATAACTAAAAAAATGTTTGATGGTAAATTAGTGTTATTATACTGCTACTACACTATAAAAGCATTCACTCAATACAATTTTAAAATCAAAATAGTTGAATGAATAACTGATCTTATTAAATATATTAACGTTTTCGAAATATATGACAAAATCGTCACAAGTTTGTTCCCGTATTACAGTTTGCATTGACCACTGAACTATTAGAGATGATTTAACCGACGAATTTATACTATACGAAATATTTTAAAACTCATTTAACTTTAACTAATTTCTCATTATCAATGTGCCAGGAATTTGTATGTCTGACCAACAGCAGTATGCAACTCTCTTATTTGAAGTTTATCTAAAACTGTATCCGTCTGAAGAATACAACCTGTAGTTAACTGGAAGTATTCGGACTGCTAAAAACACACATATTAGTAACTAGAAATATGAAAAGTACTTGATCTAAGCACAACTCGTAAATTCATAGTAAAATCCACTACTAAATAGCGAAAGTTAGAAGTTTTGTAGAAACAAATAATTCCCTAATTATTGATCGTTGTTGCGACTTGAGGAACATGTATTTATATTGTCTATAATGATGTTTATTTCTAATTTAAGATATTTGATATGCATGAACATTTTGATTTCTTCTAAGCTTTCTTGTTTTTCTGTTCTCTTTTATCCCCTTCCCTTTCTTGCATTTATTTACAAACGTACACACGCAGTACTCCAATGTTTACCTTTGATTTAGGCTCACCAGTAGGTGATGTTGCATGGGCACCTTATTCATCTACTGTATTTGCAGCAGTTACAGCTGATGGGCGTGTACATGTTTATGATATTTCAATTAACAAATATGAACCATTATGTAATCAATTGGTGGTAACAAAAAAGAATACTAAATTAACGCATATTGCATTTAATTCAAAATATAATATAATTATTGTTGGTGATGATCAGTAAGTAATAATTTGTTTACTGTCCAACATCAACTTCATTTATCAATCTATATGTCAAAATAACTATCAAAAAATCTACATGAATAGTTACTAGAATTGTTAGGTTCACCGTATGAGTTGATTTTAAAGAAATACCAGTGATGATAATGACTATTTAATTATTAATCTTACTGGCTTTGAAAATTCGCAGTGAAGTCTAGCTCCTTCATTGAGTGGTCAAATATCAGTGACCAACATCATATTGAACATGGTGTACGTAAAGCCAAATCACTTATACTAGTTCAACCTGGTAGATACAATTCGCCCAAAACTAAAAGCTATAGAAAAATTATATTGGTTACTACCCAGTGATAAATGTGAACATCTCAGTCCTACAGAAAGTCAGCCATGATCAAAAAAATTCATTCCGAGTGTCTCAGACTAGGAAGCTGGCTGACATAAATTTCAAACCAAACAAGAACATCATATTCATCAAAATTCCAGGTAGCCATTGGTGACGGGTTGCAACTGACAAGTGATATGGGTTCACTTGTTAGTAAGTCGAGAAACTCTTGGTCTAAAACCTGATACTATTGAGTTAATAGATAATAACTTTCATTATTATGGTAAACACTTTCAGTATGATTCATTAAAATATTCTAGTTAACTTAAAAAACATAATTTGGATCAGAAAGCAATAAAAATTAAATGAGCATTTAAAGTGTAATATTATTACGCGAAAGAACCTGTATCAAACTAAATACAATGATAACAAATTGATCTGTAGTTAGCCACTGTTGCGTCAGCCGGTGATCACAAGTTAGTTCACTATATGTGATGTACTGACGTTTCTCGCGACTATTGAACTTGTAGAATTAATAAGATTGGGACAGAAGATGAGTGCTTATAAAAACTACTTACACGAAAAATAAACTGCTTGATAATATGATTATGATAGTAGTAGGTTTTACTCAGATTAAAGTAGAGTTTATGAGCAGATGAGAGATTTCAAACTAGATCCATAGTGTCGCTCGCCTTTTGATGGTTGTAAACTCAATAATAAAACCTTTTTTTCCATTAAACGCATGTCAAATATGTGCTAACAATCATGTTTCCAGAAATTACAAAAAGAACTTGTGAGTTCTTCAACGAAATAAATCATATGCACAGACCGGATGAACTTTATCTTTATGCTACTTACTAGTAAGTTAGACCTTAATCAATAGAATCTTAATGAAAGCTTCAAATAGAGTAGTTATACTATTGTAACTCTAATTCTCTAAGATGCTTAGAAAAAACAAGTATTTCATCATAAAAATATAGTGAAGAATTAACCTGGAAGTAAACAGAACCCTCAGAAGAATTTAAGTTTAAACATTACCACATTAGTTATCGGTAGGTTGAATTATTAATCCTGATTATAGTTACACTAATTTATATGGTTCAGGGTTTCACTAAATTGTTGAGTGAATGATTAAACACTTATATTATCAGTGGATTATCTTAGCTGCTCAATGATATATTGTCTAAATCTTCATATTTATAGTGACCTTTACGTTAGAACTTAAAAATATATGCAAACATATGGACAGTTACACACATAAATAACTGTCAATTTTTTAATCGAATATGACTCATTAACTATGCTTTTTACTTCCTTTTTAGTGGTCAAGTGAATAGCTTGAAGCTGTCACCAAATCTACGCAAATTACCAAAGGTAAATATAAACAAAATTTACAGAAAAATTGTACGCTTGATTGTCTCATAATCTAAACGTAGGTTCAATCAAAAATTGACCTTTTATAAGTAAATTGCATGATACATGGATGCGCACTACTGAGGAGTCCCACAATAGGACGAAACGGCCGTCCAGTGCTTCCAGGTTTTCCATGATGGTCTAGGTCTACACTTCACTCATGATCTCAACTATTGAAGTTACATAAATAATTGTTGAGTGATTATTTCTTAAATTTTAATTTTTCAGATTTCGTCTCTGTATCGCTTAAGGACAGGATTTGATAATCTTTAGATTTACAGATGGAGATCTAATTATTTTTAAGTATTCATATCTTTTTTGGGACTGTTGTGATCTCTGATTTAGATGGGTTGATTGTTAAGTTTTCATTTTTTGAACAACATCATCAACAAGTACTTTAAAAAGAAGTGAGTTATTAGAATTTTAACAATTGAAATTACGAGTCGACCTACGCAAGACCACTAGTGAAAACCTGGAAGCACCTGACGGTCGTATAGTAGTATAGGACTCCTCAGCAGTGCGCATCTACGATCCCGCATGCGACACTCAAACTCTGGACCTTAGGCATCGTGTGCGCTTAATCTCTAAACTACTGAGCAGGCACCCAACGGTGTTGATATCTAACGTTAATTAATCCATGATCTTACCCAACCCTTCATCCATTATCTATGGTGGATATTTGTCTCACACCAGACATGGTTTGGACACCACTGAGCTCCGTGTTGTGTGAAACAGATATCCATCAACCAAGATCGAAGGTCCTGTGTTCGAGTCCCGCATGGTGGACCGTGGATGTGCACTGCTGAGTCCTGTACAAGGATGAGACAGTTCTTCAGTGTCTTGGTTGTCTTTTCTCGTCTCATGTATTCCTGAAATTAACCACTTCCTATCAATTACTTAGTTAGAACATCAACAGCACAATAGACCACAAATGTAGATCTGTACAAGCACTGCCCAAAAGAGTAAAGAGACACTGCAGCATCGCCGTCCTATAGAGGCATGAAAGGAAATATTTCATAGATTAACTTCGAACAAATGGCTGCCCACAAAATTTTACCAAGAAATGTTTATCAAACAGACGATCAAATACACAATAAACAACATAGACCAGTAAATGGATAGTTTGTGAAAAGTTTAAGACGGTAACCAAAGATAGCATAAGCGATCCACGAAACTTCTGTTAACTTGAAGAATCTAATTGTTCAACGATGACAACCCGGGATGATGGATGTTTAAAATATAGTCATCTAATATGCACAATTATGGCAATCAGAAATGATTGAATTTAATAACTCCCAGAACTGTCTAATTCATACTCTAATAGTCAAGTATATATCATTATTCCTATCACAGAGAACTACGCGAGCACAATCTAACGTATTGTATTTGGAATTCAATCCAGGAACGAAGCCGTGCACAAAGTAATTATTAATTAGCGCAAATATTTGATAATTAGAAGTATTTGAATTGTAGTACAAACTAGGAATCCCAAAATTATGCAATTTAACCAAGAACAACTATATAATCACGAATGAACGTATTGTATATAGAATTCGAAATCAAGTAGTCATCAAGTACAAATGAATCATTAGTTCATGCAAACATCACATAGTTTTAACCCACATGAAGAACATCTGTGAGATAATGAACGGATTAATATCATTCGAAACATGTGTAGCCGGTAAGTAAACAAAATAACTGACAACAGTATTTTACCATACGAAATACATAATAAAAAACGAAGACAAGCCAAACTTCATGTACGAGATAAATTGCAACAATTGAGACGAAGTGGCCTCCTTCTTCGTCTACATAAATACCAGTTGACTGTTAAAGGATACAACGTTACCTCACTCATCTTTGTTGTCTACGAAAAAATTGAAATATTGGGTAGAGGGGACATAAAGAAAGCTACAGAATTTGTAGAAGCCTGGGACTCTGATCAAATATTAATCAACCGAAAAGAAACATAAAATCAACGACTAAATAATTATGGATAACAACCGACCGAATTCCAAGTCAAAAGAACATGATGCTGATTAACAGTGGGTAAATTCTAATAACTCACTTCGTTCTAAATACTTGTTGATGTTGTTGATCAGGAGAGGACTAAAAGCTTTACAACCAATCCATCCAGCTTAGGGAATGCAACAACTTTAAGAACCCCGGCCTAACCTACAAACATTCTTCGTAATCACACTATTATATCTCTATTTCTTATGAATTTTACTCAAATATCTTACTGATATCTGAGTTTATGGAGTATCTTATTCCTCTTACATAAATCAAATGAATCATAACTTGAAAAACCATAATGTAGTACATTAGTTATTAGAATTATTAAACTGGATGCTCTTAGTAGATCAAAGGTCAAATTTCTTCAAAAAACATGTCATCCCGCCAATTAACTGATGAAAAAGAATTATTATGAATTTAAATAGAAAACTATTGATCATGAAGCTGATATTATTCTTCTCTGATGATATATACCATGATTATCGATTATTCCATGCAATAATTCAGTCCTAGAATTAGATACTTCAAAAACCAGTGTGATAATCAATTAATCTAGAAGGAATCAACGTTTAATGGTATGAAAAAAATTTAGGAATCAATATCCAGTTCCCGAGTTAATTGTTATGATCAATTGATCAGCAAAAAAAAATATCGGGAAAATAAATAGGATATTTACTTTATCTAGAGAGATAGTCTACATATAAACATTTTGATCGGTAATTCTAGGATGGTGAGAATCAGTTGTCCAGTACTCTTAGGTATCCATGTAAATTTTTAGCTGGTATGTAATGGTGATAAAAACTAAGCTAAAACTTGTTATATCTCAAACGTGCAGTGGCGCAGGTGCATCCACTCTTTGTGTTTTCATAAATTCTAATCTTCTGAATTCTTCATGTCCCTTTATTTTCTTTCCAAATCTGTTTCACTGTATTATACTCCTTGGATAACATCTTCAAACCTTAATCTTTCCGATTACTGCTTATACTCTTATTACCTCAACCACTTTGGGATTTAACTCGACAATTGTACCTCTATGATAATGTGGTATGGCAACTTGAACGAAGTTCTACGTTGTTGCTGACTGATATATATATATATAAATATATATGATCTATCAATCAGTTGATATACATATAATTATTCCTTTCTATTTTGAAATAACGTGATCTACAAAGAAGAAGTGAAAATTATAATTTCATGTGTAAATAGATATATTTGTATAATCATTTTGATTGGTAACTGAAGAAAAAAAACACAGGAGAAGTAATGGAATATACACCGTTATTTTTTGTTACTATGTAGTGTAAATTATATTCAGTAATGACTTAATACTGTAACTGTAACAACAAACAGATGATTTAGAGCAGTATTTAAAATTAATTATGTTAGTTCATTTCAATTATCCAATATTTTAATTCATACTTATTTATCGAAGTATCTGGACAACTAACAATATTTAACTCGATTTTACTCAAGACTAAGGTCATACAAAATAATATTAACACATTCAAAATGAATTTTTATGAAAGAAAAATAGATTGAAAATTCCCATTTTTTGAATTAGAACAAAACATATAAGCGAACAATATTGTTTTCTATTAGATTATAAAAATATTATTGTATAGGAGAGTAAAACCTGATAAAGATCTAATTTCAAAACAATATAGTTGTCGTCTATGTATTGTTCTAGAAATAAAATATTATAAATCGATGGAATTAACTTTTAACTGGTTCAAACAAAAACAAAAAGACTGTTATGGCAAAAAAAATTATACGTTTAACAAGTGCGCGCTTTGTACAGCCAATATAACATGCTCTACAAGAGCAAGTAAACTGGTAAACTTTGTAAACGAATATCTGATTACCACTATGGATGGTTATCTAAAGGGATATACATATATCAATCAACAACTCAGTTCTCGACACATATGGTTAATTCAGGTCACACCGCACCAGGCGAATCTGCATTCAAAATATTCTACAAAGCAAGAAGAACTGGCTTAGAAAAAGTTTGGATGATGAACTTATACATAGCCGAGTCTATAGCAGTTCACTATTCCAAACTTGAACTCTGTGTACAGAAGAGTCATGTTCAATCCCTTATTCTCCCATAGTCTTAGCTACCCTTCGAATTTTACAAGTTATAATTGCTAATTTTTACCTTTATTCCATATATTATTATTTTTTATTACTTCCAAAACTATTAAATAACGTAAGCTCTTGATGATTGTTTTGTTAAATGATACAACGTTTTTTCATTCAACACTTGAAAACTTTAATTACATTGAAGCAACAACTTTCTGTTTATTAATGAATGTTCATTTTTCTGTAATTTCCCCAGGAAAAGAAAGGTGCTGAACAAGTTAAAGGACCAGAAGTTGAAATTAAAAAGTTGGATAAAATCTTATCTTTGGCTGGCTGAAATAGTCAATAAAGAATAATAATAAGTGAATGGAAAAAAACCCAATATTTCTCACGTAACAAATTGAATCCATAATCTTAGTGGAAAATAATAGTCTGAATTGTTTACTGATATAAATTTGCTTTGTACACAGAACTTCAGTTGATTTATTTATGTTACACTTCAATGGCGGGCGAACATAGCTTGCAGAATATCGATTTGCTAAATATTCACTTTGTAATAAGTCTATACATGAAGCATTGAATGACTTTGGTACATATCTACAATAAATTAATTTTTACCAAGGAACTAAGAAGAAATTCATAGTTCAGTGAGTTCTGCTGATTCCTAGTAAATATGTAATCTCAAGTGAAATGTAGTATAGTGTCACATCGTTTAATCGTATATAACACGCTGTTTCCTAATTAGTTGACTTCGATGATCACTTAAAGCTGAAGCATCCAATAACTGACTTGTACTGGTTTCTCGTTAGCAAATCAAACCGACAAAGATACAAACAAAGGATAAGTATACATTGGCGGAAAACGAAATCTACTACATTAACACTTTAAAACAGTTGACGTGGTTTAAATCCACGACTATGAAAATCTCCAGTAAGTAATCTTTGGAAAACCAGAGTCCTGAGTTTAGATAATGTAGAATATTAGTTCTTAAAGTCAAAAATTTCGAAGGAAAAGGCATGTAGAACTCAAATCGAATATAGCTGTTGGTTAATCAAAACTCAGCAAACAAGATGATGTTAAAACATTAACTAGTATCCTAATATTCATCGGGTTCCCAAAAGGATTTGTGGAACTGAAACTAGCATACTAGCTCATAATCACTTTATTTAAAACAGTGGACGTCAAATTCCTGAAATTTAACACAAAGCCATACTCTTAATTCACCTGTGAGTATTTTAATCAGACAGTAAGGATCGAATATGGTTATTGATAACTTTGCAAACTGATAACCCCATAATTAAGTAAATAAACTACCTAGAATTAAGTGAAATGTTATTTAAGAAGATAAGAATCTCTACAGTTTTTAGTTGACATGTTTAACAATACAAGTGATTGACTATGACAACTCTTACAAACTGTTTGTCACATAGTATAATTGCCAGATAAGTTATTGCAGAGCTTCTATACCTTTGCCTGTATACACAGATTCTGATGGATTGCCACCTCGTTCCACCAGAAGATTAACAAAGAGATGTGAATGAAGTGGATGGTTAGTAAATAATACGATAAAACTTTCCAGGAAACTGCAAGACTGTAAATTTGTATCCACAACCATATCCATAATGGCCTCTGAAGATTCACCACACACTCTGCTAACTGTCGTCAGCATTCTCCTTAACACAGCAAAATCTTTTCTCAAAAGCCCAGGAAATAATAATGGGGAACAATAAAGAATAACAGGTAATATGCAACAATGCACAAATCGTAGAAGCGCATGTCGATAAATGCCGAACCCACTTAGCGCCTTTATCTCATAAGTCAAAAAGAAAACTTTCTTCATACCAATAAAACATGGGACAGCCAAAGAAAAACGTACACCAAGATAAGCAACCATTAGGACTGTTTTTATTAAGAATCTGTTGTGTTCGGGTTGTCGCAATTGTTGTGCCAGAAAAAGTCGCTGATCAGTTATACTCGGAACGAGGAACCTCTGCAATTCCCACGATACGAAAGTAAGAACACAATACTGGTATAAGTGAAGATTTATTAGCCCCAAAACACGACGACGAACGATGATCAAAATAGTCTAAAATAAACTGGTTTATATATTGATTTTACACACATTTTTGATTAATAATTAGGATGAAATCACATACTTAGTTATAACAAATCACAGACTGAGTATAAATCATGTCAATGGAATACAAGAATATCGTATATTATACAGAATAAAACACCATGCGACAAAAGAAAACCAATACTACAGTTAATGATCATCACATTGAATAAGAAGGGAAGTTATGTTGAACAAAACTCATAGAAAATTGATTTTTCTTCTCATCATATCAGAATCTCCAATACTACAGAATTAATGGGATTCCAACAAGGCATATAGGTGCTCTTCATGTCTCAGGCTAAAATTAACACTTTGACATTCAGAAGGATTAAGTGTAATAGCATTAGCAACAGACTATCGTTCAATGAGCAATAAGAATTCATTCGTTTCAAGTGCATAAGAGGAATAAATCGGTGTACATGCAGTGAGATTATCCGTATACTTAACGAAAGTGTTCTCTGTAGATACCAAATCATGCAGAAAAAGTAGAAAAGAACAGTTCCGTGTACCACACCTTCTTGACTCAGTAAAAACGTCGGAAACTTTCCTCCAAGTACAGTATACTCTTCTCTTCTAGAGAGGTAATAACATAGCCAGTCGGTTATCCAGTTTTCGGTGTTGGTGCTGGTAAACTTGCTTAGTAGTGATGGTCTTGAAAAAAGAGTCAAGGGCAGAAGTTTAGTCCACAAATGTGTATCAAAGATAGTTCATACTCTTTCCCAAAATGAACAGCATATTATGACGCAGAATAACAACAGCATCTTATATACTTCTTTTGCATGTGTAAGCAAACCGACATGGGTCGATATGCTCTTCTAGTTCATGTTGAAGTGGAAGTGACCATAGTTTTTCCATTGTTTTAAGAAGAGAAAAAGTTATTGACCTAAGTTACAATTTTTATCGCCAGTTACTTCCTTTGGCATTGCGATTATCTTTATCTTTCTCCACATTAACGGTATAAAACTAGTTGACAACGATTCGTTAAAGGCAGTTGTGGATGGATGACAAAGAACATCAGCAGACTTCTTAAAAAGTAGGTTTGGCATTTCGTCTGGCCCTAAACATTGGGAAGAGTTAAGTGACTGCAAACATTTACAGACATCAGTTTAAGTAAAAATTAGGACAAAAATATCCTTCAAACTTGTGGACGTAGGAAGCTGACAGCAGATGATTAAAGTACAAAAAAACTTATTTCAGTCACGAACAATCAGCTGGGTATCGCCGCTAATGCGTCTCCCACCTTTAATCTCTTTAAATAATTCCCAAGCATTTCGACAGATTTTACAAGATAAAAGTTTCTTAGCAAAAATCGAATTCAGACCCTTAATTTCTTGGTTTATAGGACCACTTGGCTTTTAAAATTCAGTGGAGCTTTTCTCCCTGTACATTCTTTCTCTTTCCCTGTGTTACCGTTTTAATTATGGGGAAGCCAGTCGACAAAAACTTACAGAAAGTTTCACTGTGATAACAAACATAAAAAAAGGATTTAAGATAACAAGTAACAACACCTTTATTTTCGATGGGTCATTTGTAGGTAAATTGCAGTTTGTCGTGCAGAGCATGTTATTCAGATCTTGGATATTTTCTTCTGAGCGATTCTTTTATTTAACTTGTTTGATTTAAGAATGTACTATTTCCAGGCTTGCCATAAACATACACTAGGTAAAACACGAATAAAACAATGATCAGGACTATAAAATGGAGTATGTTCGCAAATTACATTTATTGCCACTTCATTAGTGAAAACTTTTAAAAGAAACAATACCATTATTGTACGTTGTTTGTGACTAAACGAGTCATTAGTCGGAAATGTTACACCCTCAACTTAACTAAAACTTAATTGGAACTTATGATTAATTACAACATTACGGCACAATCACTTTGACTTAACTGTACGATGCAAAATTAGTGATACGATAGGGAAGATACATGGACGGTATGGTGATTAAAACACAATTATTTTTCCCCTACTAGCCATAAGCTCGAAAACGTTTATATAAAACAATTTCGAGGAATGAGTCAGCACAATTTATTGGTGTAAGAAAAATTCGGCGTTTTAAGGTCATTGCTACAAAGTAATGAAAATTCTAGATATTAAAGTACGGCAAACAAAACGAGCTTGTCAGCCTTAACACCTATATTTTACACCACGCTGATTCTCATAACACCATATACTCTTACATCCTAATTAGGCATTTGAATATATTTCTTAAGCACACTCCGAATCGCAATTGCCAATTGACATGGATTTATAGGACTGAGTATGCATGGAAAACTTGGTTAACAGCATCTAATGAGTCCCGTTACTCAAATGTAGCTCAATTTTATAGGATTAAAAGGATGCATGTATAGAATGAGTTCATCATGTGGAGTGGAAAATAAAAACACTCCTTGATTATTCCGAAATACCTGAGGCGTATTTTAAGTGCAGAAACCAAGCACATTGACAAAAAAGATAGCAAATAACATCCGTGTAACTAAATTCCCTGAAAATTAATATGTACAAAATATAATACATGTAAAAGTTAATAAGCCTTGTACAGTACATGAACATTTAACTGACCGCCATGTGTTTTCCCGACTTTATATAAATATCATGGGATGTTTGGAAGTACTCTGGATTACTTAATTATCATAACACTTTTAAATAAGCTATATTTAATGTAATAACAATAGTATAATTTCTACGATAATCCAGTCATATATATGCTCCTAATGTATCAAGCTTTTCATAAGTTTGATATTCGTATACTTGTGCGTAATAATAATAATTCGAATGAAATGCCGTGGATTGGTACTGCAGTTTTACCATACCGTCATGGCACAACAGAAGAACTCCAAGGAATCTTAAAACAACACAGAATTAAAGTATATTACAAAAAGACGAACACACTTTGAAATATTTTAGTTCGCTTAAAAGAAAAAATCCCTTTCATGTCCACACAGAACTGCGTCTATAAATTCAGTTGTGTCGATTGTGATGCCTTCTATATTGGAGAGTCATCTCGAGAAATCTTGACTCGTGCTAAAGAACATATTAGGTACACAAAGAAACCTCCTAATAATCTCGTGGGACTGGATAAACTTCAAATTAAGTCGGTAATAGTAATTCATGCCATTTTCAACTTTCAACGAATTGATTTTTAAAATATTAAAATATTACAAAAAGGCTTTCCAATTACAAGGAAAGAAGAGAAGCTGAAGCGTTCCATATAATGCTTAATCTTACTTCTCTCAGTAGAAAAGAAGGCCTTACCATACATCCTACTTGGGCTATCTATCCCAGCCACCTGGTCTGATGTTATTTACAATTCACACTATTATCTCACAAATTAAACTCTATGCTTTCTCACCATAAATGTCACACAATTTTCATCCTTACATGCACACATACATACACACAAATTTACACACATGTCGCTTGTGAATCACCTTGACCGAAATGATATGACATTGATTGATTTTTTCAGACCTGTTTTTTGATTGGTCACATAATATTCGTGTAGTTCCGTTGTACAATTTAAACTTAATTTTAATTTGGCTATTTATTCTCTGAAGAAGTGGCTTACATTAAGTCACGAAACGTCATAAAATCTATTTTTTCTACTCATTGGGACATTATAAATATATTATTGATCTATGACAATCTACCCGATGCTCAATTTATTTGAAATTATCAGATCAAACCTTGGTAATGATACCTACTTGTAACAAAAGTTTAATTTTTTGATAAGTCCCAGTTGCATTGATCGAAATTATAATTCAATTCGATGAACTAAAGTTATTTTTAAGATTTGGAAAATTCTCTGAAATCAAATATATTGAAAGTAATGAAAAGGATTTACTCATTCAATAGAACATCTATTCGTTCCCAAAAGGCGGATGATAGTTGAGATGTTAATCAAATGCCTATGAAATAATTAAGGGCTCTTGCCTACTTAGTAGAAATTTCGGTGAGAATATAATTTATCGACGACTCCGAAGTGACCTTGAGGATATCCACCTACTAACTAGGACCACATGAGGGTTGTAAAACAGTGTGAGAAATCAGAATTATAATTTACAGTCAATAGTTAGGGTTATGATTTATATTAAAAAGTTTTCATTACGAACCAACATTAGCTAAAATTCCAAAACGCTATTTAGCCAAATGGACGAATGAATTTCGCGACAAAATCCAAGTTCTGTTATTTTATACTAATTGATTCATCAATAAATTATAGTCTTACCGAAATTGCTTTATATTATATTAGTTAGCTACAGATGAAAATGATGAAATGTTATATTGTATGAGTAAAAAGTATTCATCTCATCCTTTGAAAAAAGGCGTTAATAAGGGATAATTTCAACAAGAAAAAAGATATATTTATATTGTTAAATCAACGAAACACAATTAATAAAGAGCATGGCAAATATATCCGAGTGTGATTGTGTACAAGATGATGTCAATTAGTAGTTATGTTAGATCTCATCAGAACAAAACAAAAAAAATAGCGAAATCCAACACATAATGCGTGAGAAATTTCTTTTTAAAAAATATTTCAATACATCTTTTAGAATAACAAATATAAGAATATCACTGATATATACTGTAAATCGGAGAAACGAAAATACTTTAAAAAATACCCACATGTTCTCTCTATAGAAGATTAAATAAATAATACACAAAAGCTAGGAGTTAATAACAAACACTTAAAAAAATTAGTAAATGCAAAGAATGATGAAAGTAATTACTCAAACGAAGTATTTGCGATGAAAAGTAAAATAGATCAGATGCTTCTTGTCATAAAGAGATTGATATTGAAAAACTTAAACATAAACAGCGGGTAGTGGACATGGAATTTATGAAAAGTTTCAAATTTATAACGAAACAATTACTTGTTGTGGTTTGTCCGGCTTCAATCAAAGAAAATAATCCTTTTGAATGACAAAGTCTTTACAGGAAAAAGCTACATGTAATGATCTTATTACTCATCACCATACATTTTATGATAAAGACGAAAATAAAACTTACAGATTATAATTTATTCCCACGAGAATAATATGACTATTTATCCTTGAATCTGTTAATCGGTTGTTCAATTTAGTGAACTTATACAATGTGAACACATAAAAGTGGAATATTAACCATTTGATCAAATGATATGCCACTATTTACATCCATGTAAAGACGACAACATAAGCATGCATAGCAAACAAAACTGATAACCATAATGAGCATAAAGTATTGGTAGAATTACAAAATGAATGCTTTATTGATTTGAAATAACACCACGTTTATATCCGTATTGAGGCGTGATGAATCTTCTTCAGTTATCTTATTTGTTTACAGTTAAGACGTTGATGAGTTTGTTCAATATAATCAGGGAGAACCATAGCGGACACAAAATCAGCCGATAAATAATCGTGACAAGCGAATTTCCACGTCCATAATTTCGCTAATTCTTCGAACTGATACTTATCCCAATCATACAAAGCACCAATTACTGGTTCCATACAAACACGTGTATGTGGATCAGTTAAAAGGGCTAAAATACTAATTAAAAGCTTCTCTAAACTCAATGCTAAACACCAGTTATGCCTGATTGAATCTAATCCGACATCACCATGAAAGCTGATGTTCGGATGCAATATACGTGTAAGAAAACGTATTACAGGTGGTCGAAAAGGATAACTATCAGGAACGAGAATAAGAACGTGGAAAAATCCACCTTGATATGGGGACTGCGGTGGACCTTCGATTCCAGCCAGAAAGTGAGAATATGTTGCCGTATCTAAAGTAATAATTTTTATGCCGTAAGGTGGATCAGCACATAGGTTTTCAAATTCATGTTTAATTCGTTTATATCGAACTTTTGGAGCTTCGATTGGGAATACAACTGGTAAGCGTAAACGTTCTAAACAAAATCTACAAGTAACACTCTCCATCATATTGAGGTAAAGAAGCCTCCAACTTTCAACTCGGCAATTAGGATTAAAGAGTGGCCATCGAAATGATACATAGGACTCCCATTGTTGTTCTGATATCTCACTATCGATTACCGCACGACATCTGGGTGACGCTTGACGTAGAGACCACAAACATATGTCATCTACCATGAGAAAAACACGCAGTAAAATTTCAGTTGGAAGATCCTCAAGGCTCGGAGACATACATGAACTACAAGATTTGATCTTCCTATTGGAAACAGGTGATAGGTAATCAATTACAGGGTAATTTGCATAGGATGTAGTAACATGAGATTGTTGTAGGGGACATGTAGCTGGAAAAATTCGAGCACAAGACGGCCGAGATTTGACAAGCACATGTTCTTGTGAAGTGACTTCTGAAGTGGGAGAATTCCAAGCAGCTGCAAATAAATCTGATCCTTTATCTGGTTCTTCATTTCCACTGTCATTGGATGCTTCTTTTTCTTCAAATAAACGATTTTCAGTCATTTGTGGTAAACTAAACTCATAAATGAAAGCATGGCAAGATGAGCACACTGGTTGCTCACTACCGAAGTCATAGTACCCTTCACAAAATTTACAGACCACACTCTAAAATAGAATAAATAACAAGTATTTGAAAACCGACAATATGGTAAATACGTTATATACCGTGCAACCTAATTTTTAATGTGATCATACAGATAGACATTATCAACATGGAGCCCAACACAAATATGAGTTGCCTCAAGTTATTATACTTAATTAGCACGAGGTGGAAATAACAAGAGATCGAAATAATGTAGTAGCGATCATAAAAAGAAAAGGTTTCGGGACCACGGTTTAAAAGCACAAAGTGAAAAAGTTTGGACGGAAAAATGTGGCAATTTCAGATACAGAGAAAGATAAACAACGAATGCATATGCGTTTTCGTGAACGACTGAAGTGCTAAACAAAACCTTTGACCACTAATAGTGGTTATAACGTGGACTCCAACTGAGTAGTCTGGATCTACCAACATAGTCAGTGACTTCATTCACGACGTAGAATCCTCTGGGACGACATTCGTAGAACATGTCCAAGCCACCGAAGTCGATGTTTCAAGATGGCGACACCAATTGAATTACCATCTCTGTGCCCGAACACACGATACGGAACCTCTGCATTACTAACATGGTGTTGCCACTGGATGTCAGCAGTTTTTCGGAGACAGCGATGATCGAACACAGATAGTCGTCTAACGTCCTCAACTCGGAAAGGCCAGGTTTCACAGGCATAGGGCAAAACTGCTCTCACCGACGCGTTGTAGATCCGACCTTTTACAGCCAGACTAACACCACGAAGGCGCCAAAGATGGCCCAGATTGGCAAAAGCCTCTCTGGCTTTCATTATACGTGCATTGATCTCATTACTCACTCCACCACCAGCACTTGTGCAGCTACCCAGATACACGAACTTCTCGACTACTTCTATCTGCTCACTATCCAGAGTGAGTACAGGATTGGAATCCTGCCAGTCTTGTAGAAGTACTTTGCACTTCGAAGGTGCAAAGCACATACCATACCTACGGACACTGATTGCCAACTGATTAAGTGCGGATTGTATGCCTTGGGCATTATCACACAGTAAGACAATATCGTCCGCATACTCAAGGTCGAGAAGTCTTTCTCCAGGCAACAGATCCACACCACCATTACCTACATTCATCAGAGCTGTTTCCAGAATGTCATCGATGGCAAAGTTGAATAGGAATGGTGAGATTGAGCAACCCTGCCTAACCCCACTGCTCGAATGGAACAATGGAGAGAGGTGGTTGTATGCCCTCACTCTGCCTGAGGTGTTTTTATACAGGGCTTTTAGGATGTTAATAAACTTCTCAGGCACAGCCTTCTTCAATAGACAATCCCAGAGAACAGTCCTATCCAACGAATCGAAGGCAGCCCTGATGTCAAGAAACACTACGATTGTTGGCCTTTGATAAGTATGGCGGTGTTCTAACATTTGGCGGAGGGTGAAGATATGATCAATACATCCTCGACCAGAACGAAACCCAGCCTGCTCCTCTCGAGTCAATCTTTCTCGGGTTTTGAACAACCTACGAAGAATGACGGAAGCCAATAGCTTGGACGCAATCGGAAGTAGACTTACCCCCGATAGTTGTTACAAGAACGACGTGAACCCTTTTTAAAGATAGGGACAACTATCGACTCATTCCATGACGTTGGAACACTCTAGTTCCCAGACCTTTGTAAACAACATCGTCAGTTCCTTAGTCAAAAAGTCACCACCATCTTTAAAAAGAGCCGGAGGTAAGTCATCTGGGCCAGGTGATTTGTAGCGCTTCAAGAGTTGGAGTTCCTTGCGAACTTCCGCCTCATATGGTGGATCAGTCGTCACCGGCCATGGAAGGCAGGACAGTCTGACCGATGTTGCCGGAGCAGCAGGCCAGTTGAACTGCCCTTCGAAAAATTCTGCCCATCGTCCAAGACGTCGATGGATGTTAGTGATTGGCATCCCGTCATCCTCGCAGCGTGTTTCGCTCACACCAGACTTCTTGCTGCCAGTGGCTCGGATGAGTTGGAAGAGCTTCCGATAATTACCAGATGCAGCTGCTGCTTCCAGATCATTAGCACGCATCGACCACCAGACTTCTCGGTCCTTACGCAAGCTTTGCCCAATTTCCTTAACTAACATCCTTCGTTTATGGTCAAACTCACGGTCACCCGGAGTAGACCGACGGGCTTCAATGAGTCGTAAGGAACCAGAAGAAACCCAGTGCTTAAAAGCGGGACGTTTCGCAAACCCACAACTGACTGTTCCCGCCATTTTCATGGCGTCATGCAATTGCAACCAATGCTCATCTATACTTTTCGGTGGAATGGTAGCTAGCCTAGAACCTAGCTCGGTCCGATACTTACTAGCGACAGAAGTTGCAACCAGCTTGCTAACATCAATCCTTTGATGGTGGTCACTTCGTTGTCCACTGAAAAGTAAGGTATGATTGGCGCAGACCAAGACATGATCAGAGTCCAGATAGGTACTCCAAAAGGAGCGGCAGTCTTGTACACAACCACGCCAGCGGTAGCTGATCGCGATGTGATCAATCGGAGTCCAGGCTTGAGATGCAGAGGGAGGACGCCCGGTGGCACATCGGCGATGACTGTGCCGAAAGTTAGTGCTGGCCAGAAACAGGTTGTGGTCTGTGCAAAGTTGCAGTAGACGGTCTTCGTTATCTGACCTGCGACCAACGAGTCCTCATCGGCCACCTAAACGACTCTCTTCTGTGCCTAGACGCCCGACCTGAGCATTCAAGTCTCCGGCTAGTACTACAATATCTGTCGAACGCACTTTCTGGAGAAGAACTGATAACTGGTGGTAAAACTCATCCTTGATTGCATCCGGGCTGCAATCTGTCGGGGCATAGGCGGAGATGACGAAAAGACATCGTTTCTCACACCGATTTCTTCTCACTTTGATGGAACTTTCTAATCTAACAGCACATAACCGACTGTTAATGGGGATCCAATCGACTAGTGCTGCCTCAGCTCTAGCGCTTAGTGCGACATCAACGCCAGCAAGACCAGACGAAGATGCCACAGGGTCCCCGGATAAGCGCACGTAAAACAAGCTTTTCGAAGCGACAGATGGAGATCGAATTTGTAGTACTTCGCCAGAGTCTTGAATACGGGTCTCGGATAGACAACACACGTCGATATTAAGACTTTCCAAAGACATAGCCAGCCCTATCTGTTGTCCGACCTGCATAAATGTGCGAACGTTGAAGGCAGCCAGTTTGAATGGTGCAGGTGGTTTCAGAAAATCTGCTTCAGTCCTCGTATTCGGTGGTAACATACAATTTTCAACCGGACAGTGACTCGAGAACGTTTAGATACAGTCGGAATTCCACCAAAGACGAGCCGCTGTATAAGTATAAAAGAGGGTGAATAATGTGGAAAATAATAATAACAATAATAATAGTAATAAATGACAATAATAGTAGTAATAATAATATTAGTATTAATAATGACAATAATTGTAATGATAATAATTTGAATCAATTGTTTGTTTTTTCAAAGCGAGAAAAGTAATTTCCATAGACATAAAGAGTTCATCATTTGTGTGTGGGCTGTGATACTGCCCGGGTGCCCAAACCGAAGCAGGTGGTTATCTTAGGGGGCCACTCCCCGAGCCTTTGACCTAAAGGTCTAACCCACAAGGCAGTGGAGCATCGTAAGGAGATGCAGTCCCATGGTAGCCGGTTACCAACGATTGGTTCATATGCCATTTGTTCCCGCAGGATACTGGAGCCCATGTGCACCATTGGTTTGGAATCCGGTTAAAGCGCCGGACATTCGCTTTTCGTCCTCTCATTTTCGTAAACACCCCCGCCACGAGAAGGCAGTGAGTAGGACTTCCCTGGCAGAGGCTGTATACGCGCGGCCGTGTGAGAGTATTTCGAGGGGGAGGGCTAACCCACCCCGCTCTCAGCCATACCAAGGCATTTGGGGGCTGACTTCATGGACTGATGCCACGTTTCATTTCCCGCATTTAACTCTTGCAAACCATTTCTGCACTAGCAAGCATCAATTGCCAAGGTATGACGTGGTTTAACATATATAACACATTCCAATCATTTTTCAATCAAGTTTCCCTACCTCATCAACACATCAACCAACATTGCCAGGTATTTCTAAGCCAGCCCCTGAATGCCCTGGTACGGCCGAGAGTGTGGAGAGTCCGCTCTCCCTCTCGAAATACTCTCACACGGCCACGCGTATACAGCCTCTGCCAGGGAAGTCCTACTCATTGCCTTCTCGTGGCGGGGGTGTTGTTTACGAAAATGAGAGGACGAAAAGCGAATGTCCGGCGCTTTAACCGGATTCCAAATCAACGGTGCACATGGGCTCCAGTATCCTGCGGAAACGAATGGCGTATGAACCAATCGTTGGTAACCGGCTACCATGGGACTGCATCTCCTTACGATGCTCCACTGCCTTGTGGGTTAGACCTTTAGGTCAAAGGCTCGGGGAGTGGCCCCCTAAGATAACCACCTGCTTCGGTTTGGGCACCCGGGCAGTATCACAGCCCACACACAAATGATGAACTCTTTATGTCTATGGAAATTACTTTTCTCGCTTTGAAAAAACAAACAATTGATTCAAATTATTATCATTACAATTATTGTCATTATTAATACTAATATTATTATTACTACTATTATTGTCATTTATTACTATTATTATTGTTATTATTATTTTCCACATTATTCACCCTCTTTTATACTTATACAGCGGCTCGTCTTTGGTGGAATTCCGACTGTATCTAAACGTTCTCGAGTCACTGTCCGGTTGAAAATTGTATGTTACCACCGAATACGAGGACTGAAGCAGATTTTCTGAAACCACCTGCACCATTCAAACTGGCTGCCTTCAACGTTCGCACATTTATGCAGGTCGGACAACAGATAGGGCTGGCTATGTCTTTGGAAAGTCTTAATATCGACGTGTGTTGTCTATCCGAGACCCGTATTCAAGACTCTGGCGAAGTACTACAAATTCGATCTCCATCTGTCGCTTCGAAAAGCTTGTTTTACGTGCGCTTATCCGGGGACC